CCCCAAAACCCCAAAACCCCAAAACCCCAAAATTCAAGATATGTCGATATTAAGAGAAGTTATGAAATTAAGATTAATTCATTATTATTAATTAGAGTTTTTCTAAGTTTTCTTTTCTTCTTCTGAATCTTCTGTATAGTTTAAACTTTCTCTCATTGTATTGCTGCTTAACTACAACCTTGACTAAATCTCAACACTTGATCTAGGCTAATTATTGCTATTATTATTGTTTTAGGAGGTAGATAGAAGATTTTAGTTCTGCTACCTCTAGTTAATGACTGGCGAATGTTCGTAGTGAGTTATTTCAGAATATGAGAACTAATTTTGCTTCTATATATCTTTTTAAACCGGATTGGATACTTGCTTTTGCTTTATGTTATCTAGGGCATCTTCTACCATCATATCAAGACTCATATTAGTTTGAGGTCTTCCTCTTAGAGCATTCAGGATATCAATTGTTTATGATCTAAAAGGGGAGTTAGTCTCCTTTCGATTTAGTACCATATCTAGAGTAGAGTCATGTGACTAATCTAATGATTAGTTGATTTAATCTGAATTGTTTTGCTACTTTCGATTTTTGTTCTTTACAGTACTTGTAATAGCACTAGAGCTTTGCTGCTCATTCCAGTTCATCAATTTTTCATTATCATTGATCATTATTTCATTGTTATTGTCGTTTCGTTTATCTAAGCTCGATTGATTCATAGATCCATCATTCTTAGATTTCTTAGACTAATTGTTTTTTGGTGGTTTCTAGGTTAATGATTCTTATTAGCTTTATGAGCTGATGTTTATTTGACTAACAACCTATTGTCTCTCATTTATTGATTGGCGAGATTCATAGCTATTTTCCTATTGCTATGAAAAGCTTTCAGTTCTTGCATATTTTTCCTCCATAATAGGTTCTAATTTTAATTGATATTCGCTTGGATTTCTATTATGAAATTTCCCTGATATCTTATGATCACTGCTTGAATTCGATTGAGAGTTTACTGATTTTCTTTGATTATCAATAGGGCTATTAGATCTAATACTACCCTAGAGGTTTTCTATTCCCATATTATCATATCCACCAGTCAACTGAACCTAAACTTCTCTTTAATCTGAGTACTTTTGAATTTCATCTAATGAGTTATCGTTGTTACCTTCTTCTTATTCATCATTATTTTGCTCATCTTATCTGCTTATAATTTCCAAATTTACCTTGCTTAAATTTGATCTTTAGAAATTTTTATGGCTTATATCTTTACTTGAAGGCCTATTTTATTCTTCCTACTTTTAAGTATAAAAAGTAGCATCTGGCCTTATCATTGAGCCCTGATTTATATCGTTCATACTTTTAAATATTGGATCATTTGAAGAACGATTTTTCTACTCAGTTTTCATTTCAGATTTTGGTGTGTTGATTTTCGAATTATTCAATATATGCTTACCAAATTTTATAATATCAATTGATTTTTCCTTTGTTTCTAGTTTCAAGTCTTATGTATTGCTATGAGTTAGTCTCTTTTTAGATTATTGCTTTTACGCTATCTCAGCAAGTTTACTTAATTTCTGTTCTTTTTATCCCTCTGAGCCATTTTCACTGACATTCAATTAACTAGAAGACTTTTTAGTACCCATAAATGCGGTTACTGCTGTGTGTTATCTATTAAAATTCTTTAAGGCTTATGCTGATTTGCTTGCACTAGATTTTACTTCTTCTTATTAGGCATTAAAGCTAGCAGCATTATTATATTTTGGAGAGCCTAAAGATGCATTTTGAATAATTAAAGATTATTCTGATTGAGTAGTTGATCCCCCAGCAACAAAGTTTGTCAATTTTTTTATCTTTTTCTCTCTTTTTTATTTATTTTCATCGAGTGTTTTTTTGTTTTAGACTAATCTGTGCTTGGTGCAAGCTTCTATAAAATCATCGCAAGTTAGTAATATTCTATTATTATCTTCACAAGTAGTCCTGTAAATATCTATTATTTGTTGCTATGATAGTTTTATTTCACAATCTTAGAGGAAGTATAAAAATTGCTCAAAAAGCATACCATTTATTAGATTAGATGATTTTGTAGGGATGCCAAGTTCAATCTATACATGATCGATTTCTATTCTTGAATAAAACTGGAATAGTCCTTCCATCCAAATATTCTCATTATTTTAATGTTCAATGATAGCATTTAATCCGATATGAAAATAAGCGCTGACAGGAAGCTTCATATCGAATTTAATCCTCACTGCTTGCATCAAGTTCTCTTTTGGTATGATTGGAGAAGTTGATTCCATTGCATCCATAAAGAATATTCTAATCACTTAATGCAACCTTTGCTTCGCATCTGCTAAAGAGTATTGAGGAAAGTCAAATTTCTTTAAAATGTAATCTCTTAGTAGTTCTGCATTAACCATAGGAGTTGTTGAGTACAATGGTGTTACGAATTCACTGATATTTTTATATTTTGAAGTAGTTACTTTATCTAAGAATTCTTTAAACATCTAATAGTCTTGAATATCTACTCCCTGAGAAAGTTTCTTGTTATCAGAAAATATCTTCGTATATTTCCTCAATTAGTTTTGAATTATTGTGTGAATGTATTGACTCGCATCCGAAACTATATTGATAATGCTAGACTTAGCTTGATTGAATTCTATGTAGAGATTCGTAATGTTTGTGGTAAATAAAGATTGAACACTATAGTTTGCAGCTTTGATCAATTGTACATACAGCTAGAATATTGAATATGGGAGCTTATCTCGGTCTAAACCCACAAATTTTCTAAATAATTCTACTCTGGAGTCAGCATCTCGATATTGCTATATTGAAAGGAGATATATTTCACAATATTTTTTTGCTAAAGTTCCTAAGCCGAATCTATTATTCATATAATCATAGTAGAAGTGATCAATATTCATTAGAGATTGCTTTTCATTTTACTTTTCAATTGCTTATATTTTAGCTTAAATCAAATTAGCGATCATCTAAAGTACTTTCTTAAGGCTTTTGACGTCTTTACTATACTATGAAGTACCATTTCGCACATTTTTTATAACCTACTTGATAGGCATGAAAACTTTTTCAAGTGGAGGTTAGGCTTTGTAAGCTTCTATTAATTCTTTAGTGTTTTCAACATATTTGACCTTCATTGTATGATGAATATTTATGAGGGTGGAAGCATTTTTAATATGCTTATGAGCTGCCATCATATGCTGCTTTGATTTTTCGTCCATTTGGATTTATGTTTATGTTGACTTGTTTTCTTTTTCTGCTCCTTTAATGGATTAAAATTCTCTCAATTTTTTTTCAAGAGAGTAGATCGTTTGTTGCAAATTATCACTTTTCATATTAACTTACTAGATCTCATCCTCATATCTTTGCTGAACTAGTTTGGTCTGATTCTAGAAATTATTAAATTCTATTTGGAGATTAAACTTTGCCAAAGCCTACTCATCTACATCCTTCTATATATTTGCAACCTACTTCTTCAAACCATCTATCAATAACTGTGTTGGAGTTTTTGTATGAAGACACTTAGTTACTCTTTCAACATCTAGTATTAAATCTTCTTCATATGGATCGATAATTCTAAGAAATAATCAAGCATAATAATTACTCATTGAATTCTTTGTAGCTTTATATGCTAAGTTTCTATAGACTCTCTCCATTTTTAGCAATTGCATCATTCACCTGATGATGGAATTCCTCATCATCTATGTATTTTTCGTATCTAGGCATAATAACCTTTAAGTTCTGGCAGAGTTTATCAAATTTATCCTTTCCTACTTTAAATCTATCTTCCTCTTGATGCAAAAGTCTTGTAGCAATACCTATTTTTATTATAATGCAAATATATACTAAGAATAGATTAAGTTTTTTCGTAATTCAATTTTAAGTCTACAAACTTTAATTCTTTTTCTTCTTTTTAGGAGATTATTTTCTAAATCTAATAAGTCAATGACTCCATATTATTGGTCAAATGGGCTGTGTGGCTTCTTATTTATTTCAGGAGAGACTTTATTTATTTCTCAATCTAGAGTATTAAAATAGATTTATTTACTTGGTCATAGTAGGAATGCCAAATCTTGATGAATAATAGGCCTTACTCTTTACATTTTCCTCCAACCTACCTGACAAGCTCCATAAAGCATCTAATTAAAACTCACTTTGATTTCAATTACTTACAAATAAAGAAGCTATTTCGTCTATACTTCCACGTGTGATTGGTTTTCAAATTCATTTCTAAGTTTTTATTCATTTTACAAAGACTCTATCTTCTTATTTGAGTCAGTTATATTTTTAAGGATGTCTTTTATCATTTAATGTCTCTACTGTGAATTCCTGATTACAATCTCCTTTATGTTATGTCTCTATTCCTCATCAACTCTTTCTTTGGATGATAATGTTTTGAATGTGTCAAGACTGGTGGGGCCCTAAGTGCTTTTTATATACGTAGGTTCATTATGCTGTCTTAGAATCTCAGGTTGAAATTCTTAAGTCAAAAAAGTTACGATATCCTACTCTTCATCGGAATTCAAAAGAATCTTACTTATTTTCCTTTCAAAATCCTTAATCCTTTCAATGTTAAAGATCTCATCTAGAAGTTACTCTTCGATTGGCAGCATCTCAAGTGTCTAAATTTGGGTTATATTTTGCATTTGAGGTTTGATTTTAGATTATTCAATCAAAAGTTATTTAAAGTCTAAGCCATGCAGGTACTTGGTAGTTTTTCCAAGCTTTAAATCCTTTTCCACCATATTCTCAGTCATTTTATTTGATTTATAGTAGAATTTTCCTGTCAAAATCTCGTTTAAAACCTGATTCAACAGTGTTGACTAGATCCTATATTCAGATTGCTCTCTGAATATCTCATTCATAGAATTTCTATTAAATATGGTATCTTTATTTTTGTTTGGCTTTTACTATTGGTTCCTTGGAGAATTCTCTTAGCTCTCATTAGAAATGTCTTATATTACTTTATCTTAATTTAATATTTGTAACTATTCATACAATGGAGATTTCTTTATCAAAAGCATTAACTTGTCACGGAAATCAGGTAAGGCTTAATCAACATTCTAATCAATATCATTGTCAACAAAAGCCTGATCACTACCACGTTAGACCTAATAATCCTCATTACTAATCTCATTACATAACAAAAGCTATTCATCCTCATCTCTTACCTCGATATTTCCACTGCTTATGATTTATCTGTTGTTAATAATGTTTCTTGTTTAATAATTTTCATTCTTCATGTTTTTCAAGGAATTAGAATGAGGCTGTATAAAGACATTAATATAGTTAACATCTCTAATTTGATTCTAACCATTGGTCATGTTGGTCTGTGAATTCTAAATTTTACTTTACAGTTCTGGAAGTTATAGTGTATTCGCTAATGTGTTTTCTATGTAGCTTAGTTATTATAGTTTCTGTTCTTTCTAGTTTGAATAACTTCTATTTTAAGAAGTACTAGACTATCTATTTCTTTTTCTAGTTGAAAAATAGGTCATTGCTTAATCTTTTGAAATAGTATTTAACAAATCCTTTCTTTCTTCGCTCTTTTATCGAGGTTAAATGTATTTACCATCTACTGTTTTTATAGGTGTTTCAATACTTTGTTTCGATGATTTAAATTGGAGACCAGGCTGATTCATAGGCGTTTTTTAATTGCTTAAACTTAGCACATCAAGACTCCATTCCTTCTTAAGGTGGTCTTTGCTCATTTAATTAATGCTTTTTTAAACTTTCTTCATAGATCTTCTATCATTATTATCCAAGTCAATCTGCTTTGGTGGTTTCTTGTGATAAGACTAATGCTTTGCAGTGTAATTGTCAATTTTAGCTAATCCGTCCAAAGCATCTTTTAAATTTCCGTTCAAATGATCGTCAACTAATTGATTTATGATATCTTTGTTTTTAGCTTCAGTTTCTTTTTGCATTTATCTAATTTATTGATGCTATGAATTGATGCTAATGATGTTATTGTTAAATGAAATTATGTTCTGATTTAGCCTTCTTTTTTCCTCTTCTAATTTGCTGTCAGTTAATACTTTCTAAGCATCAAACAATATCTTAAATTGAGATTGCTACTAACTATTCAAGTTCATTTGCCTACTGCTTGTATCGAATTGATTCTTAGGGGTGAATTGCTGATTCAACTTGCTACTTTGTAATGTGAAATTTAGAGTATCACTTTCCTCTAGCATCAATTACATATTTTATTCATTTTCTTGAGATAGTGGAAGTTCCTATGATTCCTGCTATTTCTCTTCCCAGTTATTTGGAGTTTAAGAGCTTATTCCTTTATCATCTTCATTTTCATTTGATTAGGATTGAGCATTCACGTCTAAAGTCTAGGAGTTTAATTAAGCAGGAGTTTTGGAATAATTCCTAGTCTAATCAATTGGTTCGAGCACCTTTAGTTGCTATGGTTTTGTAGTACTTTATGTTTTTAAAGGAAGAGGAGGTATTCCCTAAACCAAAAAGTTTTGCTTGTTCAGATTTAATGATGTTAGATCTTGATTAGTTTTCTTAGATCTGCTCAAGGTATTTTATTTCTTAAAATTCATTTTATTCAAATTTAGCTTTTCAAACTCAAATTAGCACCTCAAATTTGATGTTTGGGGTTTTGGGGTTTTGGGGTTTTGGGG